GCTGCTGCAGCCAAGGCAGCCGGCTGCCGGGGCTGCTGCAGCCACAGCTGGCGGCTGCCTAGGCTGTCGTGGCCTCGCCAGGGGCTGCCAGGGCGGCCTCGGCCTCGGCGGCGGCTCCCTCGGCTGTTCCGGCCTCGGCGGAATGTGCTTTTTTTTGGGGGAATATTTTGAGCCATTTTTTTTTATTAACTCACTCAGTCGTTGAATTTCAGATTTCGCATGGAAGCAAAACTTCAAAGAGAAAGAGGGTGGAGAAGCCTAAAAGCATTGATCAACCTAATAAGAAGCTGAGTAAACAACGGTCCAAGAGTGAACAAGCGTCAAAGTTGCACTCTTCAAGAAGTTCACCCATGCAACCTACTCCACTTGTTGAAGACATTGTTCTTCAATTGCTCTCTGCTGATTTGACCTTTCTTCACAACCATGCTTGTCATTTGGTCGATCCCATGGAAGTTGCACTTCCTAAGGCAATGTTCCACTATGATGAGGATGCAGTTTCATGGATCGGCAAAGAAGATGTGAAGGAATTTCTACGTTGTGCAAAGATTAACATTTCCCTCATTCAAACATTCATGAGGTACTTCAATGCCCACATAATCTACACTTTTTTAAAGTTATTTAAATTTGTGGTGATTATCCTTCATTTGATTAATTATTCAATGATCATGCACGCAGAGCACTATAGGAGCACTTAACTGAAACTGATTCTCCTTGTAAAGTTGGGTGGTTATGCCCCAAGCATTTATCCACTACTAGAATCATAGGCAACCCTCGTGACGTGTTGTACTATGTTGAACAGAGTATCAGGGAATCAGTGCGTGCGGGAGACATGTTCATATTCGCCCCATGTTATAGAGAGTAAGTCTAACCATGTCAAATTCAATCGATTTGGCCTCATTATATGTGACTCCTAAATATTAATTTGCTTGTCTATTGTGAACTTATGTAGGGAGCATTGGAGCCTCGTGGTTATTTGTAATTCCAATAACACAATTTATCACCTTGATTTAGCTCGATCATCGGAGAATTGGCTCGTTAAGTCTATATTGCAAAAGTAAATATATATAGCTACCTAGTGATGATTATTGCTAATAATAACTAATTTAGTAGTCAGACGACTAATAAAATTTGAATGTACTTTATTTACTACAGTGTTATGAAGAAGCTACATTGTCGTGCTCCTTAGGATCCAACATGAAAGTCACCGTTGGTAATTTACATGTTATTGTGATTATCTTCAAAATCTATGTTAGTAAGTATTTGCTTATTTCTTTTGCATGTTTCACTGATGTGATTTGTTCGTCATATGCTAGTGCGCACAACAAGAAAATGGACTTGATTGTGCTTTGTATGTGATGAGATTCATGCTTGACATAGTGACTCATTGTACGAACAGTCAACAGCTTGATGAGGTAAGTCCTAAAACTTAAAGAAATGCTACTTTGATGTGATTTCTAGCCTTAGACACCTAATATTACCCAGCATTGACATGTTATGAGAAATAAATAGTTCATTTGATAAAAAAGGTAGAAAATGGGCTAAATAGAAGTCATATATGCCATACTTGGGCCATTTTTTGTTAATATGCACTTTTGATGTGATTTCTTTCCTTTTACACCTATAACTAGATAATATTGACATATTATGAAATAAATAAAGTTCATTTGATAAGAAATGTAGGAAATGGGCAAAGTAAAGTCATATAGGCCATATTTGGGACATTTTGAGTAAAAAGCGTCTTAATCCTTAATAAAATGCTCTTTTGATTCAATTTTAGGGCTTAGACACATAAAACTAGGTAATTTTGACATGTTATGAGAAAGAAATAGTTCATTTGATAAGAAATGTAGGAAATGGGCTAAATAGAAGTCATATAGGCCATATTTGGGCCATTTTGAGTAAAACTTAATGAAATGCTATTTTGATGTGATTTCTAGCCTTAGACACCTAATATTACCCAACATTGACATGTTATGAGAAAGAAATAGCTCATTTGATAAGAAAGGTAGAAAATGGGCTGAATAGAAGTCATATAAGCCATATTTGGGCCATTTTGTGTTAATATGCTCTTTTGATGTGATTTCTTTCCTTATACACCTACAACTATATAATATTGACATGTTATGAAATAAATAAAGTTCATTTGATAAGAAATGTAGGAAATGGGCAAAGTAAAGTCATATAGGCCATATTTGGGACATTTTGAGTAAAAAGCGTCTTAATCCTTAATAAAATGCTACTACCTCCGGTCCAATTTACTCGCAACAAAGGGGTATTATTTGTGAGACATAAAATATTCCTTTGTTGCGAGTAAATTGGACCGGAGGTAATATTTTGATTCAATTTTAAGGCCTAGACACATAAAACTAGGTAACATTGACATTTTATGAGAAATAAATAGTTCATTTGAGAAGAAATGTAGGATATGGGCTACATAGAAGTCAAATAGGCCATATTTGATAAAATACATGTTGTTTAGCCTAATTAATTAATTCTAACATAATTTGTTTTGAATTTCAAGTTTTGCAAGGTACAAAAGGATGATCCGTTGACAATCAAGAAACTTAATGAAGTTCGTGACATGTTAGCGTCTTTTATCACCTTCAACATGTAAATGTCTTTTTAATTGTAAATTTATATTAACTTTTTAACTATATATTATTATTCATTAATTACTTACTATCCTTTGTGTGTGTGTGTGTATATATATATATATATATATAATACTTTTTTTTTATTGTATTGCATTTGGGAATATTAATATCTATACATATATTAATTCTTGTTTTTAATATTATTTGTATCTTATTATAATATTTAATAATATTATTATTATTAGTAATTATAATAATATTATTATTAATTATTTTATTTAATATTATTGCTGGAATTACAGGTTATTATTGCTAGAATAACAGGGTTTTTTTTTAATATTATTGCAAGAAAAAAGGAAGAAATATAAATAAAAAAATATAAATATTACTGAAATGGCACTGGTTAACCGATGCCAAAAACTGCTGCCACCAAAAAAAAATTTGCGCGGGACTATTTATGGCACTGGTTAACCGGTGGCCAAAATAAATAAAGGCACAAGTTAACCGGTGCCAAAATCGGTTTATGGCACCAGTTTTGAACCGGTGGCAAAGTGGGGTGTAATTGGCACCCCCCACATTGTAACCGGTTCAAACCGGTGCCTTAAGCCGGGTTTGAAACGGTGCCTTTTACTGTTTTTCTACTAGTGATTAACCCGGTTGTTAGAGACAATAGTCTCAATTGTTTGGATCAGAGATGAGTATACAACAGGGATACTACTTGGAATTTCACTCACAACAGGATCAGGGGTTTGCAACAACGACTAAGAATCAACCGTATTATTGTCAGGCTCAGTACTGACAGGAACACAAGTCATCGATTCGAAACATATTAATTTGGGGTTATTATCATCACCCAAACTAATTCCACCAACAAAAGTAACAACATCTTCCTCTATTATCGCTTCATCCATAATCATATCCATATACTACCTCCGTTGTAGGTTATGTGCAACGATCAGACATTTTCCCTCTCTGCTTTATGTCAAATCGTTGCACATAACCTGTAACGGAGGTAGTATATAGTTCAACACATATCTACCTACAATTTGAATTGAGTAATTTTGTTTTAATAAACTTACAGCATAAATCAACTTATTATACATCAAACCATATTATAATCAATGAAGGAGATAGGAAGTTAAACTTACTTGAAGCTTGTTAATCACTACCGCCGCTTTACCATTTCAGCCTACAATCAAAATTGAGTAACTAATAATCAACTTACAACATAAATCAACTCACAATACATGAAAATATAATAAAATCAAGGAAGAAACTCACTTAGAGCTTGATAACCGCTACAAAGGGGAATACATTTCCATTCTCTTATTGTTGGGCACTTCAGGGCAATAATGCATGTTCGTTTCAAATTTGCTACAGTGTAGTGTACAGTAACTAACCATAGTTAACAAGCGTTAACATGCAACAAACGGCTATTGTACTTGCCGTAAAGTTGGCGTCCAAAATCCAATCTAACGAAGTTTTCGTGAGCTATCAGCAGGCTTGAACTAAGGGGCACGCATTTGCATGTTATTTACAATTCATGCCATCAGGTTAACAATTTTTTGCAAATTTGGGGCATGAACTTGTATTTGCCGGTAATTTATAACTTCTACGCATCCACATAAAATTGTAATTTTGACATAGTAAAGTTTGCATTCAAAACTATCTAACGGAAGCTCCTGGAACCACACTGCTGCCGCTGTCCTTCGGGGATGCCTCCTACGCTTACCACTTACCTACGCTCTAAAGGGGGGGCGAGAAACTTATTGAAAGGGGGCGCGCTAAATTTGGCGCTTGAGTGGGGTCTGGGGGGTCCCTTCGAAACGTAAGTGTTCGGAGGTACCAGGAAGTACTCCAGCCTCGAGAGGGTACGTTCCCCTTTCTTCTATCGTGTCTTTTGGGGCCGAATTCGGATTTTCGAAGGACGCGACCCCCAACCCACTGGGGGAGCACAGACACAGCGGAGGATCATATATGCTATATTAGAACCAATTATGAGTAACTTCTTTCAGTTTAACTGTTATAGAAAAATAAGGATATATTTATATTCTCAAGACTAACTTTTTTGTAACTACTCCGTACATATGAAAAATTAGTATATTTATACACGTAAGTGTAAAACCTTAAAACATTTATTTATATATATAAATATATATATTAATGCATTCACAATGCATGACTAATTATAAAGTAGTACTTAAAGAACTTGTTCGCTTTAGCTTAATTTCAGTTTAGTTCAATTCAGCTCCAATCAGTTTAGTTTAGTTCAGCTCCTAATTTTCTTCTCTCATAAAATATTTATTTCAGCTCCAATCAATTCAGTTTAATTCAGCTCCAATCAGTTCCGTTCAATTCAACTCCAATCAGTTCAGTTCAGCTCAATAAATGTTAACAAGCGTAAAATGTAAAGACATTTTAGGTATTTTCAATCGACATAAAGTAGGCAAAAAATTAATAGATCAAAATACATTGAAAGACCATTAATAAAAATGATACAGCATGTAAAATTAAAAGGTACAGTGACATTTACGACCAAGACAATGAATTAGGTCGGTCAACACCAGTAACACTAGACCATCAAGCTAACGTTCTATCTATCGATCTATCACCCTCCATTGCACATCTTCGTGTACATTTTTTTTTTTTTTTTTGACAAAGGGAACTAGAAACTAACAACACAAAAAAAGAATCAAAAAGACCGAGAAATGGAAAGTCGACGACGAGCTTGAGCAGCAAGCCAATGAGCAGGTAAAACCCAACAGCGAGGAACCTTCTGAATCTTACAGGCTGTAAGAGAATTAATTTCAACCCTGATAGCTTCAAGTAACCAAACACACGAAATATCATCCTCAGACATCCCTGTAAGAAGAGAAACAACCCGAGCACAATCCGTATAAACCTGTAATCGAACCAACCCCTTTCGTCTGGCTGCCCTAAATGCCCATAAGCAAGCCTGAAGTTCTGCTTGAAAACATAAATTCCTGAGATTCTCTGGCCTTCAAAAACTATGAGACAAAAAGTTAATATTTTGTACTGTAAGAAATTATGCTGATCTTTTACCCCCTACCCCCATCACTTCGGGGCGATTTAAGTAGAACTGAAATAACTACAGTGAGGTCGTGATAAGCTGAAGGTGTTTCACGAGGTTCTATATCGACGACAATAGAATTGATCCATTATTGTTGACTGTGCATCATCATCAACATGTAATGACATCTTCATGGGTCTAAAGCAGGCACATCACCATCCAGGCTTCGACGTTTTTTCTTTCCCTCACCATGTCTTGACCTCCTAGGAGCCTCATCCTCACTTTCACTGTCATCATTTGTTAGACTGTTTCGAGAGACAAATTTTTCAGCACCTTGATTTGATGAGTCATCACCACGTCCACTCATATCCTGCAACTTCCCTTGATCTGGAACTGATCCAAATGTCTCACCCCAATCACTACCTGATCCTCTAATATCCCTCTTAGGACCCCGATTGCCACCTTGAGGTGGTCCAGGCTGGGAAGGAAAGATAGGAGGCATACCCATTGGTCGACCACCTCTCCCACCAATACCCATTCCTCCAGGCATGAATGGAGCACGCCCAGGGCCCATCATCATCCCAAACCCACCACCAGGATGGACCCCTCCAGGTTGTGAAGGCCGACCAGGAAACATCATACCAGGTGAAGGATTTGTAAATTCACCGGAGAACCTTGGGCTGTAGGGCACGAAAGGACGAGGACCCATGCCAAAAGGATCAGGCATTGGAAAGTTGTCAGGTCCAGGTCCATAATTGAAACCATCCACCCCCATCATGCCAGGAGGAAAGCCCCGCATCCCAGGCATAGGACGCATTCCTCCTCGACCCATAGGAAAATTTGGTGGCCACATCATCCCTCTTCCCCTTCCTCTGCCTTGAATAGCAAGACTCCCAGGTGCCAGACCAAAACTCTCGTCTTCTTCTTCACTTTCTTCCTCCTCTTCCTCCTCTTCATTGTCCTCAAATGGAACTATGTCTGGATTCTCAGCTCCATTTTCTATGTCAACTCCTTTTGCTTTCTCTTCTTCGCGTTTGGATTCAGCTGCAACTAGAGTCACCTAACAAATTTTACAAGAATATGAGAAAACTGTGAGTTTATGCAAAGAGAAAACAAATAAACAATTTTAAAAAACCTTATTAAATAATTAGATAAGCCGAAGCAAACATGGTACTGAAACAAACTGCAAGTAAATACAGATTAAAATAAGTAAAGGACCGTTCCAATTTTATTATGTCTCCGAAGACTCTCCTCTGTATTACACATGATATTTTTTTGGAAAAATTAGAAAATAACACCCCAAAATTATCACAATTTTGATTATAACACCACATAAAAATAAACTTTGTTTATAACATCACATAAAAATAAATAAATAAAAAAATAAAAATAAAAATAAAAATAATAAAAAAAATTGGTTTTACCACCGCTTAACTTTTCCATCCAAGAAAACCGTTAAGTGGGCCCCACACAGCACACGTGTCAATCAACTATTGCCTTTAAAAAAAAATTAAATAAAAAAAACCCTATAACCCTAACCCAACCACCACCTCCACCACTGTCGTCAACCCTACCCTACCACGGCCGTCAACCCAACCCAGCCCCCATCGCCATCTCCCCGACCTGAAACCGTCGCCGAATCACCCGGGCCCCAACCCAGCCCCTATTATTGTCTCCCTACCTGGATTCATCGCCGAGCCACCCAAACCAGCCAGTCGTCGTCGCCAAACTCCTCTACCCTACCCAACTTCGCCGAGCTCCTCCCTAACCAAAGTCGTCGCCGAACCAGGCCACACCAGCACATCCGTACCCAAACCCACAAACCGCCCTACTCCTCTCACCCTCACCTGAAACCAAATCGGAGCTGGTTTCGTGGGTATGGTTTCGAATCGACATGGTGGTTGGTTGGCTAGCTGGTTTTGGGGGTCGAGGGTGGTCAGTTGGGATTGGATGATGGCGGTGGGGGCTGGGTTGGGGTAGCGACGGTGGAAACCGGCACCATCAATGGTGGCTGGGTAATTTTAGAGGTTTTTCCTTTTTAAAAAATTATTTTAAATTTTTTTTTTAAAAATCCAATAAATAATTGACACGTGTACAATGTGGGAACCACTAACGGTTTTTGGATGGAAAAGTTAAGTGGTGGCGAAATCAAAATTTTGGGGTTTTTGGTGGTGTTATAATAAAAGTTTTAAAATTTGTGGTGTTATGATCAATTATGACAATTTTGTGGTGTTATTTTCTAATTTTTTCCTTTTTTTTTAATTTTTTTAATAACAATTTGATTTTTAAACTTGAAAAATGTAATATCAATATCCAAATCAGATATCAGATTTCATTGTTCTTGTGAGTTTAGAGTGTAGTTATTCCATATTCTACTACAAACTAATGCAGTCTTGCAGCATATTTTATTCCTTTGTCTACAATTAAGTGAATCTAATCAAGACCAAGATCAAAACTAAAAGTTGATGAACTCCCTCAAGGAAAATTACACAATACGAAAGAGGGTAGGAAAATTTGCCAAAATTAATCTACAATGGACATTATTTTTCTAGTAGAAGATTTAATACTGTAAAAAAAGATATTCGCTAATTAGATATTTGAACTGTCTTCCTTATACATTTCAATAAATGAACTACCATTAATAAAAAAATAAAAAAAGCCAAAGAGTTCCATTAATATTCAATGCACTTCTAATGTGCCCAAAGAGAATTTTAAACCATATAGAGTTGCAAAACCGTTATTTCGGAGTAATTTTTGATTGCAAACAATATCTTCATCAATGAAAATGATACTGCAGTAATTTGGCAAGAAGGGATGGAATAAGGAAGAATACAGGAGTGGGATAAAACAGATGTACTGCTTGAAAAAGTGCAGTTGAGGCACAGTTGTCTTTAAGATTAAAAAGGTCTAGGTAAAGCATGTTCAATGGGACGCACTAAGGGCCTGTTCTAATCCGTTGAAATTCAGTTCAGTTCAGTTCAGTTGAGTTCTTAGCTTAGCTTAGCTGAGCTCTTAGCTTAGCTCAGCTGAGCTCTTAGCTCAGTTTAGTTCGGCTCTTAATTTACGTCTAATGATATTGCCAACAACAACAACAACAACAACAACAACAACAACAACAACAATAATACAACAACAACAACAACAACAATAATAATAATAATAATAATAATAATAATATATAAGTAATAAATAATAATAATAATAATAATCAATAAATAATAATAATAATAACAATAATAATTGAAATAATAATACTAATAATAATAATCAATAAATAATAATAATAATCATCAATAAATAATAATAATAATAATCATCAATAAATAATAATAATAATAATAACAATAATAATAATAATAATAATAATAATAATCAATAAATAATAGTAACAACAACAACAACAACAACAATAATAATAAATAAGTAATAAATAATAATAATAATAATAATAATAATAATAATAATCAATAAATAATAATAATAATAACAATAATAATTGAAATAATAATACTAATAATAATAATCAATAAATAATAATAATAATCATCAATAAATAATAATAATAATAATAACAATAATAATAATAATCAATAAATAATAGTAACAATAATCATCAATAATAATAATAATAATAATAATAATAATAATAATAATAATATGTACATTTGTATATACACATATGTATAGTAATAAATAATCAATAAATAATCAAAGATCACTAATTCGTAGTTAAAAATCACTAATTAATAAGCTCAGTTCAGTTTAGTTCAGCTCAGCCAATCGGAACAGGCCCTAAGGCACTGTAGCTGCATCATATTACCAGAGCTCATCATATGCACCTGTTTTAACACGTATGATACCATCTATAATACCCTACGTCAACATGTGCCCACTCTGATAAGAGTGACAGTTATTATTGCATTAGGGGAACTCCTGAAGTTGTTCTGACCACCCTCTAGGTTGCCAAAACTCATTCCCACTTCCATTCCCTAGTACTACTACTAGCTAAATTTCTCCTTGTTTCTAAATTTTAATTTAAATTTAGCATCATGCACAAAAGATTAATTAGCAAAATTTAGCATCATGCACAAAAGATTAATCAGCTAAATCACTTAAAATGTGGCACATTAAACACTCAAGTTAATTATAGGATTTATCCAAGAGTTACTTGTTGTGATGGTAGTTGCATGATTAAGGGAGACCTTGAAAAGGCTCTTTATCATAGGAATATAGGATTTATCTTTTCCTTAGTTTGAACTGACCATAAGTGACAGGTTGAAAGCTGAATTATTTTTATCTTTTCAGCAAAATTTAAATATAACACACAAGGCACAACTAGGGATAGAAATGGTCTGAAAAAGAGGGATTGGAACACCATAGATAGTACCAATGATAAATTTTATGTTCTGCAGTTTCTGCTTCATCATAGGAGCCGAAGTACAAGATAGAAAACCTTTGGTTCTCTTTCAATGGATACAAAAAGTGTTACAGCAGCAGGAATTATTAGTATTTGTCACTCTATTTTCAATAACAGCATGTCACATTTTCTCCAAACTTTTACCTAATCAACAGGGCAATAATATAATGCTCTGTCTTAGATAATTCGCTGAAAAAGATCTTTGATTAGTATCATGTATATCATTCTGGATCAGAAACCTGGGTCTGAAAACACTGAATCCTGACTAAACCCACTGACAAAACTGGGTTCCCGTGTCCATATATCTCCTATAAATTAATTCTCTATATATCATTAATGTTCTCCCACAGCCATTTCAGCATTTAATAATACCCATATGAAAATAAGAAATAAATTGAGAAAATTCTGCTTCTAGCATCAGAAAAGAAATATACAGTATGGAAGGTTCCGAGTCAACCCACAGATGATATGGAAAATTAAGGTCTCAAATAAGACAATATCAGAAACTCCATCAGCTCACATTAATTCATTCCAGACTATAACGTTGTATTAATTGGGTTCATGTGTCCATCTAGGCTTCTATTTTCAGTTTTCTGTACATCTAATATGGTCTTCCCAGCTGAGATTACAGGATCCACAGATCATATGACATGAGATTCACAATAGAGAAGAGATGCAATATTTTCAGGTGCTTAAGTAATTCTACGTTGAAATTTTAAAAAATTAAAATAACAATTTCATGGTAAAACCATATAAACAAACATACCATAAGTTCACCGTCAGGTTCAAGATAAAGCAAGGAAGCCAGCTGCTCCCCAACAGAAGGCTCAAGCTCCTGGCAATCTCTACTAATCTGAAACAACAATTTAAAACCGAAAATAAAGAATTTTAGAAATTTCCACAATCCAAAACCATATATACAAAGATTTCAAAGAAAAGACTAAAGTTTGACCCTTTTGTTCAAAGTTTAGTTATTAATTAAAGGCAAAATTGGTAAAAACCATCTTTTTTGTCCCACTTTTTTTAAAAAACCACCTTTTATGTTTTTTTTATTTACTAAACCACCTTTTAAGTACCTAAATTCTTGATAGCACAACCCTTATTTCAAATTTTGACAAAAAATTTAACTGAGACGTCAAAGGGGCCCATAACTTGTGCCTTTCGCTCCTAAATCATGTATTTTTTCACCCCCAAAAACATTTAAACCTTCCCTCTATATAAATGCATGACTAAATTGAGTAAAGATCTAAAAAACCAAACCTAATTTTGCTACAAAAATTAAATTGTAGTATTTGTTTATTCTCAACCATAAATTGAGGTAATAGAAGTGATGGTTAAGATAGAAGGGAAGGTTTTGCTATGGTTGATGATTTGGAAGTGGATGGTTGAGATGCAATTTGTTAGATTTGAAATAGGGGTGGTGCGATAAAAAATTTAGGTACTCAAAAGGTGGTTTAGTAAATAAAAAATAAAAAAAAATAAAAAGGTGGTTTTTTAAAAAAAGTTGGACAAAAAAGGTGGTTTATACCAATTATACCTTAATTAAATCAATAAGATTGCATTTGCCTTCTTGTAACTTCTAATTTTTGTTTGCTTTCAGAATTTGGTTAATTCCCCATAATGTTATATTTTGTGATTCCAAAGGAGTAAATTAGTTTGTTGAGAGATTATAAAAACTGTTGAGTTATTACTTGAAACAATCTGAATAAAACAAAATTTAATACGTTAGATTAGTGACAATGTAACAGATCATTGCTCCCTCCATCCCATACAGCTTTAAGCACTTTGTTGGGCACATAGTTGTAGGAATTTTTGGAGTGGGCTACTAAAAATATTTTTGGAAATCTTAACTTTCTCATATGCGCTTTAAATAATGCCAAGATTATTTTAAAATAATCCGAATTTTGGGGCGTATTCGCTTTTATTGGTCTCGAGTGACTAATAACCTGTTAAATAGGGTTTTTTTTTTTATCGACACATCCCACCACGTAATTGGTCAAAAATGAAATGAAATTTAAAAGAAAAAAAAAATTAAACAAAAACACCCCAGCCACGCCACTTCCCCCAACCACATCTCCAGCAGTCCCCACCCCCACTAAAACCGCCCCATTTCCCACCACCGAAACCACCCACACCACCCAAAACCGTCCCCCTTTCCAACCAACAAGACCACCCAAATTCCCACCCCAGTCCCAAAAATAAAAAAAAAAAAAAAAAAAAAAAAAAAAAAACTACCCCTCCCCCTTTCTCTCTTTCTTTCCGACTCTCTCTCCTGTTTGTTGTTTCTTTTATGGATAATCGCCGTGGATACAAACTTCGACGAGATGTAACGGTATTTCTGGCCGAATTTTGTTTGATGGTTCATGTGGATAACCCTAGAATATAGAGAAACAGTTTATTTAAGTGGTAAAAGAGGGAGAGAGTGAGTGAGAGAGAGAGAGTTATAATTGGGTAAATGTTGGCTGCAGCGGGTAGCGCAGGGAAACGACAAGGGAGGAGGCGACAATGGGGAAGGGGAAGTGGAAGGGAAGGGGTTTTGTGGCTAGGAAAAGGAGGGAGTGGCAATAAAATACCGGAAATGCAACCTGAGTGGAGATTAAGCCTCAAAATTTCTTCGAGAGGGAGACAGTTTTGTAGTGGTAGGCTGAGGGGCGGCGGTTTCGGGGGGTCGAGGTGGGGAGAGGTGGCCGTTTCAGGGGGTTGGGGTTCCGGAGGTGGTGACACATGTCTCTATTATAATCGGTTGGAACCAATAAAAGTGAATAAACCAAAAGTTGAGATTAAATAAACCGATTTTTCCATGAGAAAGGTGGAGGAGATATGAGATAGTGGAATACTTTTATCTGAAAGAAAAAAAGTGGACCAACCTTTAATTGTAGATATTAGAAATATTTGTTGGTTCAACCCTTTACTTACTCCATCTCTTTAGTTGATATGTTTAGATTTTAGCACTATTCACACAGTCCCCTTTTATTGTCTTTTATAATTTAAATGTAACAAAAAATATAGACATGTTGTGTTTTGTTAAAATTGTCTTCACATATATATTCAAAATATAAACTAATAATTTTTTTCCTTAAAGATCATTAAAGATAATCATAGTTCAATATTTGCAAGAGAAAATGTGCCTACAGAAATGGAAGAAGTAAGGGACAACTTTCAATAAAATATTGTGTTAAAACTCAAGCTTTTAAATAAAATTCCATTCTCTTCCTACATCTCAAATCATAAAGAATGTTAAAGCATTACATAGATTATTAGATTGCTAAACGTGGAGGCTAAAACACTATTGGATTATACCATTTTGCAACACATTTTTTAAGATCAGACTAACATTCTCAGGGGTCGTTTGGTTGGGGGTAATCATCAAAGGGAAAGGGAATCAACCACCCTGATTCCCTTTGTTGGTGTTTGTTAATCATTTTTTCCCATTCCCTTTACCCCATCCATTCCCCCAAATCCTTCTAAGACCATTACCCACCCCCTAAGTATTTCCATTCCCATTCCCTACCACCCCAACATCACCACCTTCCTACCTACTCACACCACCGGAGCCCCTCCCCCGACCCTCGCCGCCCCTTCCTTGACCCTCGTCGCCCCTTCCCCGACCCTCACCGCCCCTTCTACGTCCCTGCAAAAGCATTCCTCTGGCCGTCGTGTCCCTCCTCCGCCACTCGCCGACCTTGAAAAACTTCCTAAACCCCTTGTCGGGATTCGCTGCCCATGTTCGCACCTCCCTCAACCCTCGTCGGAGGTTGTCGTACTTCCCCCATCCCTCGAAAACCTTCATCACCACCCTTGTTTCGATTAAGCGATTAATTTCAATTTCGATCTAGGGTTTTTTCAAGGCTGAGGAAGGTTTTGCGAGGGGCGGGGATGGTCGGAGAAGGGTGGCAAAGGGTGAGGGAGGTGCAGCGAGTGGTTCGGTGGTGTTTTAGTGGTGGAACGTTGGGTGGTTGTGTGGTGGTGGTGTGGTGGTGGGAGAGGTGGGTCTCATTCCCTTTGTTTTTAAAACAAACAACACCCCAAATTTTAGGCATTTTCATTCAATTCCTTGTCTTTCCTTTTGTTCATTCCATTCCGATTACCCCGTGCGAACCAAACGACCCCTCATTAAGTTAAATCAGCTAAAGAAGGCATTGAACATATGAATTAAATATACTAATTTATAAAACTATAGATTTAAACACTATTCTAACCTAGGTTGAACCACATCATTAACTTTAAAAAACCAACTGTCTTTACATAAGATAAAAAGAAAATGCTAGTTAAAAGACAAAAGAATATGTGGTGCATAATCTGAAAAAACATTTTATAGAGCATTTGAATTTGCTAGTCAAAATACAGCACTGTTGTTGTCTAAACAAAGCCATAAAATACCTTCACTGGCAAATTCTCATTGTAAGGATTCCTCAAATGCCGTGTTTTGTTGAAAGACAGCTCACACAACTGCCACAATGAAGCAAATAGTGTTATTAAATGAGTATATGGACCTTTAAAACAGTATAATTCATTTGGGAAAGTAAGACAACATCACATAAAGAGTTACAACCTATGTTACATGGACTCGGGTACGTGTCGGACACGGACACGTGTCCGAGTGTCCAATTCGTCAATTTCCAAAATTTTAGGACACGGGGACTCTGTCCTATATTTGGACACCAGTGCGGGGACACGACACTTTCATTTTTTGCAAAAAAATTATAGTTTTATAATTTTATATGTTTTTATCATTAGTGAACAAAAAATAAAAATAATTCGTAGTATAATTGGACACAAGGAATACAAGTATTACAATGAGTGAATGAGGGAGTACATTAAAAATAAAAAATTGAATTGAGATAGTGGAGTGTGGGTCCACACGGTAAAGAAAAAAAAGAAAGTTATTTGGGGTCTAGTGTCAGTCAAACATTTAATTTCAACCATGAATTTCTGATTTCTCTCTCCTCTCTCCTCTCTTATCTTCTCTTAAATGGAGTAAATTTGAACGGTCTTCTTGCTCAAGCTTGCTGCCATTTTTGAAGCTTAAAGAACATGAAGCTCTAGATGTCAACTGAAACTGCCGTGTCGTACCCGAATTTCACAACCGTGTCCGTGTCCGTGTCCGTGTCGTGTCATGTCGACACGGGTACGTGATGATTTTTGCGGAGTCCATGTAACAGAGATTGCAACAACAACAACAACAACATTGCCATTTCCCATAATGATTTGAAGTCAGGTAAAATGAATCAACATAGGGAACTGTCCATGAGAAATGAAACAAGAAAAATAAAAAAGTTAAAGAAACTAAACAACAATATGTGAGAAATAAAGGATGGTGTTAAGTGGAAACCCAATTCAAAAGGACCTGTAATTTTACTGCTAGGTCCAAAAACACTCATCACACGGACGTTCCACCTTTGAAGTGGGTGATTAAGTGGAAACCCAATTCAAAAGGACCTGTAATTTTACTGCTAGGTCCAATAACACTCATCACACGGACGTTCCACCTTTGAAGTGGGTGAGTCTGAGTCGTCAAGCTGATTCACCAAACCCTATCGCTTACTCATACCATCAAGAAAATACTGGCTACACCTCTTCTCAGCCCATTGCTCTAGGCTAGTGTGCCAATTGGTGACGGGCGGGCAAGGGGTGGCCTTTGGACACCAAGAAACTTGCCTAGGTTAGATGTAAGACAGAACCCAAACTCCGTTCTTGGGGGATTTAAACGCAAAGTTTATGGTTAACTGCTAAACATAAACTACATGAGAGCCCATTGACAGATTAAAGCAGTCTTATGGAAAAAAACATCACATTTTTTCTTTGATTCCGCTTACGAGCGCAGTACTTCTAGATATTGTACTAAGCATTTGTTTAAACTCTCCCAATTTATCCCTCTTATTTTCCCTTGGAGTTGGGTAACGCGGGGTCAGATTAGCTCAGAATCTCGTGATAAAGAGCGTGGAGGTTTGAGTCTACAATACGAGACTAATTCGATCCAACTATTTTTTCGAACCAGTTCGGGACCTCCGGCTAGACTAAATCCTAGTGAGAGCACTCTATAAAAGAGCTCGGACAATTAAGCCCTATTTCGACTATGTATTTATAGATTGAGTATGTAATTTGGTAGTTATTCTACCTGTTCACCCTAAATTTTCCATTCTTCTTCTTCTTTCTAACATCTACGTAGTGTGATAGGTTTTTTTTAAAAAAAAAAAATAGCCTTTTCTTTCATTCTACTCCCGCATCCTAATCAATGTGCTCACTTAACATGGCACATAATTTTAAGAAATATGTTGCTTGATCATCTAAAGCCAAAACCATGGGCCCTTGCCATTTTTAGACATGGGCAATCAAATTTGAGAAAAATGAAAAAGGAAGTGAGCATACCAAGTCTATGGAGTACATTGGTTTTATATGTTCTCATAAATCTAATATATATATATAAAGGGGAGTTTTTCCCCGAGTTTTTAGAGAGCCACGTAGGATTTAATTTTCTTAGCGCGCCACGTAGGATTATGAATTTAAGTAGTAGCCAATTAAGTAAGAGATTATTAATTTCTTTTACAATTAAATAATTCAAATGCCACGTAAGCAAAATTAGCAAATGAAATTTTAAAGTTTAAATTAATTAAATACAAAATATTATCTTTTGATATTAGGAATTTTATCTAATATTCTAAAACTAATATAATAACAATTTTAATCACATAAATATGAAAAATATTTTTGTAAAAAAAAATACTGACAAACCGTGTATCGCACGGGCTTCATCTAGTTATTCTTATAGAAGTCAGTTATTATATGCAACAAATTACAATGTCCATTAACTAAAAACCTTAAAAAACAAAAACAAAAACCAAAAAAAAAAAAAAAAAAAAAAAAAAAAAAAAGTGTTGACTTTAGCACTGTTCACATACTCTTCTTTGACTATTATTGGTAAATTTTACACAAGGCAAATCATAATCAAGTGGGATATGTCTCAATGTATAACTGTCAAATATCAACTTTCCACATTTTTTACTGTCATACTGATAATTACATAAATTAATGGTTGAAGTCATGTATTAACATGTGCGAAATTTAATATGTTCCAACCTTAAACCAACGGAAGAAGTATATATTAAATTATTCCACATTTGGCTCTTCACAAAAAAAGATAAAATTAAAATAATTGTAAATTGCAATTACAACTTATTTCATAATGAACATACCTTTAACCATTTGACTGAGAAATTTCTCCCATAATGCGCTGTCCCATGTGCATGCTTCCAGTTACCACCACTAGCAGTCTCACCAATTTTCGATGTCATCTTTGCACAGCCCTAGCAGTAGAAAATAAGCACTCTATCAGTGGTGTCTATAAACTTGGCAAACCCATCATCATCTAAATTGCCAGAAAGAATTACGAAACCCCACCTGAAAATGTCGAGTACGGTTAACAGAAAAAACTAAGATTACATGCTCAACAGTATCAAAAGCTTCATTCAGTTTGGCTTCGTTGCTTCTTTGGGTAGCCCATACACCTTGTTGAACAGATAACTCCAAGTTTTCACGATTGCAGCTCTTCACAATAAAATACCTGTATTTCAACAAATTGAAATGAAGGAAGAATATCCAAGAAAGTTTTTTATAAAAATCCCCAACCAGAAAAATGTATGAAATTGTTTGCAAAGAGTCAACTTGGTTTCAAAGGGATGAAACTGATATGATAAGCATGGCATCATTACATACATGATCTGGTAATTTTTATATACCCTTCCCTTCGCTCCCCATTTTTCCCATTTTCCTCTTTACCCACATTAAATATGCTAATCTGTGCTGCAAGATACGGTTTTTGGAAGACATGTGAAGCTAGATGGTTTGCATTGGTGCAGGTATATCAGAGCATTATATTGAATGATCTAAATGAAATAATTATAGCAGCTTTAGTGTGCCTGAATATCATCAAGTTCTTTCAAAGAGTAATTATTTGACAACAAAATCAACTCACATAGAAATGTAGCAAGTGAGTAAACTAAACAACAATACTCTACAACTACAACGTTCCTGTTGATAGAGCAAGAGAACATCAATACAGCACATGAATTAAGGATTACAGCAAAAAACAAATTTCCTTAACCATCCCATGAAACACTGAACAACACTAGAAAATAGAACAAGTTGCTACCAGTTCCATATCCTCTACCCTCCTTGTCCTGAACCTCCATATAATGCAGCTGTATGCAAACTTCATCTGAATAGAACTTCTAATCTCCAAACAGTGTGGGTGCATAAGTTCAATATAACACTTTCTGTCAACAACTTCCGCTTTAACAATTTTAACAAGAAAAAAAAAAAAAAAAAAACCAACAGGACCTTCACCTTCTCAGATCCTATATAGAATATAGAACGGTCCAGCAAGTACATATTGTTAAAATAACACTGAATCTTCAATAACAATAGAGGTAAAAGATGAATAGACAAGGAACACTATACCCTAAGTGCCCTCATAAATTCAAAAGAACTGGTCCATGATGTATTTACAAAGAAAAGCACAATGAATTCAGACAGAAACACTATTCCCCAAGTAATTCATGGTATTCAACGGTTAATTTACTGCATTGATGCCAAGGTAGAAGTTTGTTTAAAAAGAATAAGTGTTTGCAAAACAAAACTAATTAAAATTAATATAAGTTTGTGAGCTAAACCTTATTCTCTTTGGACCAAATATTAAATGAAACAAGGTAAGTGTAGCTTTCTAGGAGCCTGCCAACAGTAAATTTCAAAGTTCTCAATACACATACTCCTCCAAACCCCCCCCCCCCCCGAGGGGGGGGGGGGGGGCCTTAATGATCCGGTGGTAAGGTAAATAAGAGAAGGAAAAAAAAGGAGAAAATTCTAGTACAAATTACTCTCTCTTAATTTCTTTTAAGGATCTTCAAATTACTGGTTCTCCATATTTACACATGAGATTTGCCCCTTCCAAGCCCATTAAAATAACTCTTATCATTTATTGAAGTTTATAGAGAAATATACAATTATGAGAACAGTAATATACCAATTAGTTTCACTTTCATCTAAAAAACCTAAAAAAATTAGTGGTCCAATGCAATAACAAAGAGGAAAGTGTACCCCTTATCTAACACCAATCAGTTACTCATACAGCAATATAAGTATGTTGGTCCGCAGAAGGTATCACACTTAAAGGAAACTAGGGATTTTTTATATATCACAATAAGAAATTATGGTCATTGTACCAACACCCCTTGACCAAACAAAAATGCAGAAAGCCAAGATCTCTATAAAAAGGATAAAGTAGGTATCAACAATAAAAAAAATGAAACATATTTCACCATTTCTGTATAGCCACTGTAGAAATATTATATATATATATATATATATATATATATATATATATATATATATATATATATATATATATATATATATATGTATGTATGTATGTATGTATGTATATGTATATGTATATGTCTAGGTTCCAGATATACTTTTTATATGTGCAAAGGCAAAGATACAGCTTGTACAAGAATATTAGCCCTGAAATAAAACATCATATACAATAATTTGAATCATAAACCTTATAGAAAACTTAAGCACTCTGGACACACCTAGTTATCCCCTTAGGAAGTGGAGTAGCTGTCCTGCCTGTTTGACTAGATGAATTACTGTGAAGATTTTGTATGTTGTCCTGACCAGCCAGATGAGGCTGCTGTAATTGTTGCTGTATGTTGGAAGACTCTGTTGCTGTAGATTTTGGGACTGAACCTTGATTTGCAGTGTTAGCACCTTGTGGAAACTGCGACCTGTCTGCTTGCTGAGAATAATTTGTATTCCGTTGTTGAGAAAATCTATTTGAGACACCATAACTGTATGAGGTGAGTTGCTGGATCTTCTGAAGTACTTCGTCAACAGCAGGCGGAGGTCCAGGCTGCTTTGCATGTCGGTAACGACAGTCTGGCCCATTTGGACAGAAACCCAATTTGTACCTACAGTCAGTGATCCAACTTAAAATTAGAACCACAAATGCAGACTATCATTTACTAAAATACTCTTGCAATGCAATAATTTAACATCCAGTAAATGCCTATAAGAGCACTCTCAGTGATGGCCAAAAAAGTGCCCATGAGGAGATATAATGGTGGGGGGAAGAAAAAAAGCAGCAACACTCATGGATGAAACAAGAAATGCCCATGAGAAATTTCCTAACGCCATAAGGAAATTCCAAATGCTACAGTAATTCGTTAATGGCGGGCTGCTGAAATGTGGCAGCTCTGCCCCGCCCCCCCCCCCCCCCACCAAAAAAAAAAACGCATGTTACATTTTATTAATTTTTATAACTTAAAAAAAAAAACCATCGATCATAAATTTTATTTTTAATTATAAATAGACACCCATTTTACCATATTTTGACATCCTTTAAAAAATCTCTATTTTCGACGTAAGTACTTTTTTTCCAATTCCACTTACTATTATTGTCATTATTATTAATAATTAACTTACAGTTATTATTAATATTATAAGCACTTTAACTATAAGTTGATTAATGGAAAAAAAATAGCCAATGAGACAGAAAAAAAAAAAAAAACTGATTAAAAAAATAATCGAGAGTTTATCAAGTAAACTAATCTTAATAACCAAATAATATAACGCAAGTAAACACAATAAACTTTTGATTGTAATGTTTAAATATCTTAAATAATATTTACACCTTAAATAAATAGATTAACATTAAATGGTAGGATTGAGAAAATATGGAGGGGTATAGTTATAATAGGAGAGAGTGGTGGGTGAGAAGCTTTTATTTTCTTTTCTTTTTTTCTCTCTCACTGCTCTGCACCACCATTTACCTCTGATTTTCTGAAGCATAATCCATCTATAATCTAATCGCTAAGAGGTTTCAAAACAAAAAGGACGCTTTTTAGAAGCATTACAATTATTAGCCTAACGCCTCAGACGAGACTCCAAAAGTGAGAAGGATAAAGAACAGTTTAAATGTGTGCAGCATAGCCTTATCCTAGCTACCACAGATGATGTTTTGTTGAGCCCATTTTATATAAACTACCAAATCACAATCAACGCAAAAAGGCAGCTTAGAACTCCTCTAATTCTGTTGAAAATAAACATGTCCCAAAATGACAAGTTAGAGATAAGGATATGATAGACCGTGATATCCACAGATTTAATTTTGTCACTTACCTCAATAATAAAAAGAAGAGCAATAAGGAATATTTGTCCAAAAGCACCATTCAATAAAATTAGTGAGAAATACCTTCTACACTACTGTAATATATTATTAAAATGTCTTTAACGATTTTTTTACAAATATAATTAAAGATGTTCAAAGTCAAAGTAGTGCATTGGCAAACCGGTATGCTAAATAAAAAAACACAACTACAATGAAATGAAATAAATATTCAGCAAGATGTGGTATTTTATTATATTTAGTAGGTAGTGGAGCCAAAGTGAAGTAAGAGAATACTGCAGGGATAAACACGTGTTGATACAACATGACACCAAATACTAGTACAAATCCATCTCAAACCTGACATTGTGCACTTGAATACGTCACCTACGATAAGATACCACAAGTTCCTGTCAAAAGAAGGAAAAAAAAAAAAAAAAAAAAAAAAAAAAAAAAAAAAGGATACCACAAGTTATACACTTGGGGAATCTCCGAACATATACAAAGCCCACATATATAGGGGTTTTTGTCGCAAGGGAGATGCAAGTCCATCACCTTCGATCGCCTACATGGTCTAGTGGTAAAGGTCTAGTGGTAAGCATTAGAGAGAGAGAGAGAGAGAATTTACCCATTTGTAAAAAATTACATGGTACTACTTTGTGAGTTACCTAACCCGACAATCAATCAAAGCCTTACTCGAAGCGCGACACATCAAATTAAAATTAAATAGCACCATCTAAAACGTGAAGTTGTCACCTTCTTTTTCTTTTTGACACTCTTCTACATTTAGGCGCTGTTTGGTTTGAAGTAAACATTTTCGATGAAAATTTAGTTTTCATAGAAAAACACATTTTCAAGGAAAAACCTCATTTGCCATAAAAGAAAAATTATAGAGAAAAAAAAAATAGAAGTGGAAATGTGACAATTAATGAGAGGAAAGTAAAAAAGGGATGAGGAAGAGGAAGGAATAAGTGGCTTCCCTTTTCTAGTAAAGGAAAATATTTTCCACCAATAAGGTGTAATTTTCTACCATTGGGAAAAATGTTTTCCACCCGTTCAAAAAACAAACAAAGGAAAATAAGGATAAATGGAAAAATCATTTTCTATGAAAACATTTTACATCAAAGCAAATGAAGTCTTAAGGTTTGCTCTAGAACTTTTTTGTTATTCTTTTGCTTTTCTAACACCCTCTTTTTATTTATAAAATATATTGTATTATGTAAATGTCATGTTGTCCAAATTTAAACCCGATTTACATAAATTGTCATATCATGTCATAATTGTACCTATACCCATGCCCATATCACAACACTCCTAAACAAATCTAAGTTGTAGGTTACAAGTAATCTAAGATGGCCTAACAAGGAAAGTTATGCAAGAAATCAAGGATAGATGGAGTAGTATAAAAGAAAGTTCACATGAAGAAAATAAACAATTAGACTAATTCAATTAAAAGTGTACATGAATACTCCCTCTATTCCTAAATAATTTACTCGTTTGACTTTTATTTACTATTATATACTAAATTCGAACATTGTTTTGTAGTAACGTGTCACTAACCCAAGTAGTCAAGGTGTCCAAGCAATACAACCACCTAGGAGAAAAGGCAGCAGCAAACAGTCTTATGAATTATAGAAGCTCCAATTGAGAAGAGGACAACATTAATTAAGAAGAAGAGAAGGATGAAAGCAACTTAGTTTCTTTGTTGTTTAATTATGTTTTTCTAATTCAGCTAAGTATCACATGTTATGCTTCATGGTCATCCATGACCATCGTAGTATAAGTAGAGTAATCTCGGTAGCAGAGAAGATATCCAGAAATTGAGTGTAAACACATTGTGAGATTAGTAGCCTCAAGCTACTTAGAGAGAGTAATAGCGAAAAAGGCGCTGAGGCGCAGGGGGTGAGCGCTTAATTAGGTTTGGCAAGGCGTTTCGGGTAAGGCGCACGAGGCGCACATGAGGCAAACTTCAGCCAAAAAAATTTAACAGCCCATATATTGCGCGTCACTTCAAAGAGGCACACTGAGGCACGCCTTAGGAGCAGCGGAACCCCTCTCGCCTTAGTGCACCTTGAGCTTTTTTATACATTGGTAATAGCCTCAAGCTAATAACTTGTAATCCTCCTTCTTTGATTAATCAAGCCCCGTCTCAAGCCTCAGTGAGCGTGGTGCAACCCAATATAGCTTTGGCCATAAGGCGGTAGGGTCCACTCGATGATTGACGAAATCAGAGTTACAAGATCGAAGGGCAAAAGGGTTGTGCTTTAGGTGTGACAAAAGATGAGGGGTGCACCACCGTTATAAACAGAAGGAGCTCACCCTCATGGTCGCCGATGAAGAGGAAAACGATGGAGGATAAGGGGATGAAGGAGAAGAAACAAGGGAAACTAATGAACCCACCATTGAAGTGTCGTGTTCGGTGGTGGGACTTTCAAACTCAAAGAACATGAAGCTTGGTGGTGAAGTAAAAGAGCGACGGGTAGTGGTAATGATTGACCCTTCCAAAACAACTACTTTCCCTCCAAAGAACAACTCTTCCAACTGTTCATCGCACACGTCACCCTCAAACTCCGAGATAATCAATACAATACTTCTCCTGGACATCATCTTCATCATTGGACTATTCTAAAACCTCATACGCTTCCGCTGCCGCTGCCGCCGCCGCCTCCGCCTCCCTCACTACAACTTTGTCATGGACCTACCTGTCTTTCCACTCCACACTTCCAACTTTTTTATTTGGGTTTGTTGAAGAGGGAAGGTGGGGCACGAATTGGGTAATAAAAAAATTAAAATTAAATAAAAAATAAAAACTAAAGGCTAACATTTTTACATACCATGGATTATGGTCAATATTGGCGTTAAGGAGAGAGAATAGAGTGGTGTTGGGAGAGGAGAGAGAAGGGGACGGTGGAAGGTGGGAGGAGGAAAGAGGCAGAGATTGGGGTAAAAAAATTAAAAAATTAAACTAAAATTGAATTGAAAGTAAGTAAAAAATCAAAATTAAAATCTTAAAATCCAAACCAATAAAATCAAAACACATGTCATTTTAACTTGTTTTACCAGTTTTAAACAGGTTAATACTCAATCAAAGAAAATACCTCCAAAAGGTTGACTTATTCTTAGTTAATTAAAAGGTTGACTTATTTTGAGCTAACCGCTTAAAGGTTGGCTTATTTTTGACAAATTTTCCTATAATTTATTACAAATATAATTTGTATTTAAGTCTTGTTCTTTTCTAATGACAGATATGGAGGAGGATGGCACCACACGAACTGATATAGGCGGACACATGGATATTTAGCTAATCCAAATAATAAGAACAATGTCACTTGCAAGTATTGTATGAAAGTGGCCAAAGGAGGAATATTCAGACTTAAACAACATTTGGCTAGTGGTTACAGAAACATAAAATCTTGTCCAAAGTGTCCTGATCATGTGAGAGAAGAAATAATAGAATACATGTTAAAGAGAAAGAGTAATAGAGAGCAAGTTAATTTGATGCATGAGTTTGATCAAGTGGCTGACCTTGATGATGAAGATAAGACCTTGATGATGAAGATAATGAATTGCAAATGTTGGGATCTAACTCAAAAGGAAAAAGGCCAATGAATGTCAAAGCATCAAGCAATGATAAAAGAGCAAAACAAGTTGGTCCAATGGATGCTTTTTTTAGATCTCGTACACAAACACCGGGTACACAAAAAACCCTTAATGAATCTTACAAGAAAGAACAAAGGGAGAAGGCATGTGCAGATTTTTCAAAATGGATGTTTGATGTTGGAATTGTATTCAATGCTCTTAATT